AAAAACCTGAAAAAGAAAAAAAGTAGTTCAGAGCTCTGTAAAGGGGAAAAGTACTAAAACCCATCACATTTATTAAGTCAAACAACATTTCACTCACATTCTTAGATACATAAGAATTCATAAGAGAAGAGAATTCAAATTCATTGCATTTATTTAACTCTCTTTTGTTTTTCTACTAGGAAAAGGTGAATTGAAAGATTTTTGCAAGGATACTTTAAATCCTAATGTATGAATGAGCAAATGTGCCTTGAATGTGCAAATTCTATTAAAACTCTTAAATGCATTAAATCCAACTTATTCAAGCTGTGTCTACAAATAATATCAGCTACCATTAATTGAGTGCTTACTTGTATTAGGTTCTTTGTGAATCTATTAATTTATTTAATTCTCACAAATTCCCCCATGCTGTTATTAAACCCATTGTATAGATTTAAAAAAAAAATTGTGTCATGGAGTGTTTAAATCCTCAAAGTCCCAGAGCCCGAAAGGGGTGGAGTGAGGTACTGAAAAAGGCATTCTGATTCCAGAATCCATATTTTTAATAACCACAATACTGTCATTCATGAGAAATTGGTTGCCATAACAGCTATTATTTCCCCTAAATAAGGATCTTTATTTGATGGCAACAAAGCAGCCACTCACCTTCACTTATTCCAAATAATGGCCACCCATAACACTGAGAAATTCTTCAACTTTTGAAACGTCCCCAGACTACTCACTTGGCCTCTTACAGCCTAACAGAATGTTTATCAATGAGAGATCATCTGGTATTTCCTCCTTTCGTCCAGAAGATTGAGTCTCCTTTGAGCCTCTAATCAGCTGAAATTAAAACCACAGCAGAACACTGTCCTATCACAAGGTTAAGAATCAGCAATATTTCTTTGGTTTCAGACTTATTTTGGTCTTTGACGACCAACACAAACCAGTTTGGCCCTTCAGGTTTATCATTACGTAAAAATAATAAAATTCAAGGTACCCACAATTTTTTAAGACTCTCAATCTGTTGAAACTACATCAAACTATTAAAACATAAAAATAATCCGTGTGATTTTGTAATTAGATATCCATACTGAAAGACATAAACGACTGTTTGATTCCTTGATAGACCATATCATCATAAAATAAAAGAGCATGCTATGGTTTTTAATACAAGGATTATGGAGAAAAAGAAACTTCTCTCTTTCTTCACCTTTCTGGTCTGCGTCCTCACAAACAGATGGGGAAATGTCTCTGCAGTGTCTCAGGATTAATGACATGTGTCTTCTGTCCCAGATCTGCCAGCATGGCTCTAGGCTCTAAAGTAGATCACAATCTGAGCATTATTTCGTAGCCCCACAGAGCCCTAAGTTTAAGAGGCAGAATAAAAAGTTCATATACTCTTCACTTTTAGCCGGGAGAAGCAAGAGTTTATTTGCCAAAAGATAAACACTGCCCCCTGCCGAAATCAGAAAACAAATAAAAATGTGTATGCTTATCTACTTTCAAAATACAGCCGGGTTTTCTCATTTTCATCAGGAAAAAGTGTGTTCTTCATTGTTCAGTAAAACATGTAAACATCATGTATTTCTTACATGAAGATCTTAATTTCTTTATTAATGGCCTTACTTCTTAGCATCTCAGTTCAATGCTGAAACTTTAAAAGAACATTTAACAGGACCAACCGGTGGCATAGTGGTTAAGGTGCTGGACTCCTACATAGTCGAATGTGCTTCCAGTTCCTGATCCAGTGGCTTGAAACTCATGCTGGGTACATGTGCATATGTGCCTACGATCCCAGAAAGAGAATGGAGGAGTAGGGACTGTAGGGTGGACATCCCCCAGTGGGGGTGGGGAGTAATTTCTCACTCTCTGTCTCTCTAGCGAGCCCACATGCCTACGGCAAAAAAAAAATCTCTCTCTAAAAATAAATAAATAAATAGATGGACAGAATAAAGGAGCATTCACCTCAAGAACCTTAAATTTAACTAATTTGAAGAAAAAAAAACTTAAGAGAGGTTTTTGCTATAGGGCATGTGTGCTCACCAGAGAGACAGAGCGAGACAAAGAGACAGAAAGCAAGAAATTGCCCCCTCCCTGCCCAGAAAGTGGTTGGCCACACCGCAATCCCTTCTCTTCCAGTCTCCTCTCAGGATCTTGAGCACACATGCACATGCACCCAGCATGAGTTTAAGCCACTGGGTCCAGGATTCGAACTGTGGTCAGCTACATGGGAGTCCAGCGACATAACCATTATGCCTACTGCTGGTCCCAAGAAAAAAATTTTTATTTACACAATTCTCCCTAAGATACATGTAATTCATTAAAGTGAGTTCTAATTCAACTATGATTTTTGAGAAAATAATATGTTCTTTCCTGAAAAAATGTATTTATATGTCTGGGGTCTAGCAGGTGGTGTGGAGTTTAGAGCATTGGATCCCACATGGTCAACTGCACTTATAGTTCTAGACCCTGCACCTTGAGGATCATGTTGGGTACATGCGTGTGCCCAGAAGAATGGAGGAGAAAGGATTGTGTCATGGCCATCCCCCCCAGGGGATGATTTCTCACTTTCTCTTTTCGTTGCCTGTCTCTTTCTGGTGAGTCACATATCTTACAGCAAAAAAAAAAAGGGGGGGAGGATGCAGTTGCGTAATGGTTATGTCGCTGGACTCCCATGTAGTTGACCACGGTTCGAATCCCAGACCCGGTGGCTTAAACTCACGCCGGGCGCATGTGCATGTGTGTCCAAGATCCCGAGAGGAGAATGGAGGAGAAGGGATTGCGGCGTGGCCATCCTCCCTGGGGGCTGATTTCTTGCTTTCTGTCTCTCTGTCTCTCTCTGTCTTTCTGGTGAGCACACGTGCCCTATAGCAAAAACCTCTCCAAAAAAAAAAAAAAAATACAGAATAGTTATTGATCATTAGAAAAATAGCAAATATTTACCATCACAGTTATTATGCACCAGGTATTCATAATCCTCAAAAAAGAATACTACTATTACTACTTTTCAGATAAGGAAACAGACAGAGTAGTGAGGTAACATGCCCAAGTATTGGAATCAGAATATTTATCCAGGTAATCTGACTCAGACCCCACCCACTTCAATACAATTCCAAACAAAGATGAAGTAGGTATACTATTACTTTTCTTATGATTATAAACCTTTTTTAAGAGAGATTTTTGGTATAGGGCACATGTACTCACTGGAAAAACAGAGGGAAACAGAAAGAAAGCAAGAAATCACCTCCCAGCAGGGATGGCCATGTCACAATCCCTTCTCCTCCATTCTCCTTTTGGGATTTTGAGCATGCATGCACATGCACCTGGCATGAGTTTTAAGCCACCGGGTCCGGGACTTGAACTGCAGTCAACTATGTGGGAGTCCAGCAATGTAACCATTATGCCATCTACCTGTCCCACTATCTTAAACATTTAAACACTTCCTTTTAAATGAGTCTAAAATAAGTTGTAGAGATCTGCTATACAGCATAATACCTGTAGTTGAACAATGCTGTATAATGCACTTAAAACATGCTAAGGTCAGATCTCTAGAAGTATATTGACACAGACACACACAAACTAACACAAGGAAGTTAACTGGTCAGCGTTGGAGATGATGGATGGATATGTTTAGTATCTTAACTGAAATAGTGGTATCACTGAGATACACACACACACACACACACACACACACAAATAAATGTCTGAATTCATCAAAATGTGTACAGAAAATATGTGCAATTTCTTGTATATAAATTATACCTAAGTAAAACTTTTATTAAAAAAAAAAATGGAGCCAGTCCATGGCTTAGTGTTTAAGGTGGCTAGAATCCACATGGCCAACTGCAGAGTTTGAGTCCCAGACCTGGTCTGAGGAACATGGTAGATGCATGCATGCCCAAATCCTGAAAATGGAGGGATAGAGATGAAGGGATTGCAGTGTGACCAACCCCTACCAGGAGTGCTTTCTCACTTTCCCTTTCTCTCTCTCCAGAGAGTCCGTGTACCCTGGGTCAAATTAAAAAAAAAAGAAAGAAAGAAAGAAAATGATTTTGTAAGATTTCCATGCATTCTCTTGATCTATATCTAGACATCATGAGTTTAGTGTGTGTCTTTGAAGACTCATTTTCAATATTCACGTGGGCACTTTTACACAGAGCAGCCTGTTTGGGATTTTTTGTTTGTTTTCAGGCTTTTGCCATACAGTGTGTGCTCACTAGAGAGAGACAGAGAGAGGATTAGGGAGAACTCACTCGCCCTACAAGGGGCATGGCCACACTGCAATCCCTTTTCCTCCATTCTCATCTAGGAATTTTGGACACACACGCACACGTTCCCAGTATGATTTTCAAGCCACAGGTCCAGGGCTCAAACCACAGAGTTGACCACCTGGGAGTCCAATACCTTAACCATCATGCCACCTGCTGGCCCCAACAGAGTAGCCTTTCTGAATACATTTTAAAATCTATTTGTTTGTTTGTTTGTTTGTTTTGAAAGAAAGAGAGGGACCCCCAACAGGGCCTTTATGCTGTGTCCCTCCCCCACCCCACGCTCAGCCAGCCAGAGTCACGGGCGCACACACAAATAGGCAACGTGAGACTGAGCTCTCATAGTACAACGCTGGGACCTTCCTGCGTGGCCTCCACACCGTGGAGCATCGGTGACCGCCACACTGCCACGGCTGGCCTTAAAATCATGTCCAATATATCAGCAGTACTCAGCTTGGTGTTTACCAAGTTTCTCTCACACTTCAACTATTTTCCACCCAGATTCTTAAATGCAATCGTCTGTTTAACTTTTCCTTAAACATAAACCTGCCTACATTTTTGTCCAGTCCACTCTCAGTTTAGAACATATTTGCTATTAAATAAGGTCCATTTTCCTTATATTGACCTAAAATCATGAGTCATCAATACAGATGTACAATTTACAAGGAATTTTCTCAGAGAAAACTTTATTCATCAGAAATGGTAACAATAGCCTTCAAAGGAGAATCCAGGAGACACGTTGTCAAACCCCGCTGGTCATATTTATCAGCATCGTGATGTGATTTCAAAATACGACAGTTGCAATAACTAGTGGAATTTCCAAACAGTATGCTGTTCTCTCTCTTCCCCGTTGAATAATATGAAGAAATTATCCAGCTTCATCTGTTTTAATAATCTTATCAGTGAAGTTAAGGATAGAGTGTATAAATAGCTGACAGGCAGAAAAAGATAAAATATAGACAATATGGAGAGGGCCTGCTTGCACTCTGCAAAGCTGGAGTCCTTGCTCACCGTTGCTATGGTGAGTCCACTCACCAGCTCCTTCAGTCAGCGCCAGATTCTGCAGGTGTTATCCTTACTACCTAATAAAATGAAATTTTCAGAGTTACTTTTTTTCCTCATTTTATTCCCTTCACTTGCTCCCTTTTCAGGCTGACAATCCCTGGCATTGCTCTTCAGCAACATGCTCAACATGCTCGGCTCTCAAAGCCTCGCTGCAGAATCCCTGGGCAGCCCAGGCATTTCAAAGGAGTGACTTTTCTTTCACATGATACCAGCTAGTTGTACCTTGAACAGGTTCCTCTTACTCATACAAGATGCGTGGCATCTTACAGTTGGAGAAGACGTGGGCCAGCCCCTAGTGGCTAAGGAAGCTGGATCTCATGCTGCTCCCTGTGGTTTGAATCCTGGACCTAGAGACTTGAAAAACACACTGAGCATGCGTGGGTGCATGGCCCAAATCACAGCAGGATGGAGAAACAGAGGAGTAGGGGTTGGACTATGATCACACCACATTGGGAAGTTTTTCCCCTCTTCCTCTCTCTCTCTCTCTTTCTCTCTATCTCTCTCTCTTTGTCTCTCTCTGGTGAGTGTATATACCTGGGCAAATTTTTAAAAACTTTTTAAATTAGAATAATGTTTTTTTCATGTTTAAATAATTGGAGAAGACCTGAGAATGTAATTGTCTCTACCAACAAAATTGTCACCAAGTGGAAATATGGTGAATTTGAATATCTCCAGGTTTGGGTGATAAGGTGAAGGCAGGATATTTTGCTTTGGAACATTTTTGACATATCAATCAATTGCTCTCATTGTCAGTGTGTCCTTCTGCTTCTCTAACCTTCAGAAACCGGGCACATAACATCACTATTTATCAATTTACAGTTTTAAAAAGATTTTTTTTAAGAAGTGGAAGTGTCAATTTTGGACACCAGAGGTAGTATGAGAGGAGGGTGGGAAGGGACAGAGGGTCAGAAAGAGGGGTGGAAATAATTCTAGGAACTAGAATTGGAAATTTTTTTTCTTGTAATGTGCATGATTCAGTCACTATGCAGTGTGTACTGGATGTGAGATCACATTTTATGTGCTGTGATGATGCCTAGGGAAGGAATGTAAATTGAGTTACAAAAAAAAAAGTTTCAGGGAAAAATAGGGTCTTTGGTGATTCAATAAAATGTGGGGGGAAAATGGTATAGAAAGCAAACATAGATACCAGAGACAGTGTGGGAGGAGAGTGGGAGATGGCAGAGGGTAAGAGGTAGGGAATCAAGGATGGGGGGAAAAGCAAAACATACAGAAAACAAGAACTGGAAGATCATTTGCTGACAATAACATGTTTGTTGATATGCTTGATTGAGACAATATACAGTATACTCTGGATGGAAAATCTCATTTTGAATGCTGTAATGATGTACAGTGAATGAATGCAAATAAATAAATTGAAAAAAAAAGAAGTGGAAGTGTGAAGGTTATTGGAATTTGGAAAGCTTATAAAAACTACACACCCTACAGATATGCACCTCATATGTTACATAATATAAAAACCACATCAGTCACTTTTCTTCCAATTTGTGATTTCAATTCTGACCTCAGGCATCCCACTAAGAATTGCACACAGCTAATCATAATGGGGTCCACCCAGAAACAAGGGCAGGTCAACTCAAATAGAGCGATTGCTCTGCTGAGGGCAAGCAAGAGCTGTCAACCCATCCTAACAAGCTCTGCCGTCCAATCAGCACCTAGCACGTTGCTGCTTTGGGATATACTAAATAAATCAGCATTATCTTTTCTTTTTCAAAATTTAATTTAATTTATTATTTTTTTTTTATTTGACCAGAAGGAGAGAGAGGGAAAGTTAGAAAGCAAGTTGCCAGATCCAGGACTCGAAACATGTTCAGCAGTGTGGGAGTCCAGTGCCTTAATCACCATGCCATCTGCCAGACCCAAATCAGTAATATCTTAGAAGAGCTCAGGAATTAAGTGCCAGCCCTCAAATAAGGCAAAGGTACCTATTATTTCATCCTTAAACCCTCCAAAGTGTTCTGTGTGGAACCGGTTGGGCAAGGAGGCATTACAGGGCCAGCCTCCTGTGAAGCACATGGACTAGGCAAGGCTTCTGCACCAAGCCAACCAGTGAGCCTTTCCTCCTCCTTCAGGAGACAGCTTCCTACAGGAGCATCCTGGGTCCTCCGTCCCAGCCTCCCACCTCTCATGCTAATGGGGAAAAAATAAGCTATGGTGTCTGCAGTAGAAAGAGCTAACAATAATACATATTTTTTCTGTGCAAAACTATGCCATTACTTTTCAAAAAACCCAATATATTTCAAAATAGCTAGAAGAGAGAATTTTGAATGTTCTAAACACAAAGACATTATAAACTTCTGAGGTGATACATATGCTAGTTACCCTAACTTGAGCATTACATATTGTACATATATGCTGAAACATGTACATGTACCCCATAAAGAGATACAATTATGTATCAATTAAAATTAAATTAAAAAGTAGAGAGGCAAGCCATTTATGGGATAAAGAAATGGGTTATTATCTATTGAAAATAATTTTATAGTGTTATTTACTGGGCTGATGAGAAATATACACATGTTGGAATATTCACTTTGCAAGCTAAGTAATATGATTGAATGTATAAAAGAACTTGAAATTACAGAACCAGCAGTAGTGTAACGGCTATGTAGCTGAACTTCCATGTAGTCGACCATGATTATAATCCCGGATCCAGTGGCTTAAACTCAGGCTGGGCGCATGTGCGTGCATGCCCAAGATCCCGAGAGGAGAATGGAGGAGAAGGGATTGCGGGATGGCCATCTCCCTGGGGGGTGATTTCTCGCTTCCTGTCTCTCTCTCTCTCCCTGTCTCTCTGGCAAAAACCTCTCAAAAAAGAAAAAAAAAAGAAATTGAAATTAAATAAATTAAGAGGGAAAAAAAAAACACAAATAAAAAGCCTACAGATTGGAAAGGAAAAAATAATTAAGCATTTTAAATGTGTGGTTTATTTTTACAGTGTTTTAGGATTGCCTACATGTTAGTTAACATTTTGAAGTCATAAACCCAAAGAAAGTAATCCGTCATTTTAGAACATATCCATAATTAAGTAGAAAGAAGTTTTCTTAGGGAGAAAAGATAAATTATTCTCCTCACCCCTGAGGTTATGTGAGTAGAAAGCCACCAAATTAACCACATATAAAGCCAACCTTGATCATGTTACATTTAAGTTATTGATCAGTTTGGCAATTTTTCTTTCTTTCTTTTCTTTCTTTTCTTTTTTTTTTTTGAGATGTTTTTGCTATAGGGCACATGCACTCACCAGAAAGACAGAGAGACAGAAAGTGAGAAATCACCCCCCCAGGGGGAATGGCCATGCCACAATCTCTTCTCCTCCATTCTCCTCTTGGGATCTTGGGTGTGCACACATACATGCACCTGGTCTGAGTTTAAGTCACCAGGTCCAGGACTCAAACCATGGTCGGCTACATGGGAGTCCAGCGACATAGCCATTACGCTAAATGCTGGTCCCTAGTTTGGCAGTTTTTAAGTTTACTCGATCCAGTGAGACCCACTAAGCAAGAGGTAGATGCAGCTTTCTGTGTCCATTTAGGGGATGCCTACCTCACACTCTTCAGCATTCCTCTCTGCTACTCCCTGTCAAGGCCTCCCACAGAAGCAACAGACTCACATTAAACAATATTCTTGTCATTTTCTCTACTTTCCATAATCTAAAATAACTTGTGCTCAATCCATGATTCATAAAATATGGCTAATATAATTAATTTACAATAAATCATTAATGGTTGCAAAAATTCTCAATAAATATTTGTCTCCTCCAAATGTTAGCATTTTAATGAAGGACTTCAAAAGAGAAGACAACTTATCTCAATGAATAAATCTCTGGAAAACCCTATCCCCACTTGTTAGGGTTACTAATCCTTACTGGCACCAACTAAATATTAACCATCTGACGGGTAATGCCTAAGGAATGCAGTGGCCGGTGAGGCAAGCCACCAAACTGTTACTGTATCTGGAGCAATGAAAATTCAAAATTCATGAACCCTTACTCCTGTCACTCCTGATGCAACTAAAATTAAATAATGGAAATAGAACAGGAATGGAGTAGGTGTGGGGAACTCCTTTGGGTATTCAGCTTAGGAACTCTAACAGCCAATTTAAAAGAAATATTAATGCCACTTCTTCATAATGGGAAAAAATATTGCAGGGACTAATACACAGAAATTAAAATCTACACAAAACATTATAATTGTCTACCCCTCCCTATTCTAAGGATAAAGGTTCTTATCATTTGAGTATTCGCCATCTAGTTTTCTTCCTAAGACTCTCGGTGCCCTCCTCTGTACAAACACGGGGCTCAGCACCAATGGTGCTCAATTTTCCCGTACCTGTAATGACAATGTTGCCCTGATAGTTGAAAGCGCATGAGAAGATTTCATCGGTGTGCCCCTCGAGAACCTGGAGACACTGGCCAGTCTGAGCATCCCAGATTCTTGCCGTTTTGTCAGAGCTGCCAGTTAGAAGACGGTTCCCCTGGGGGTTGAATGAAATCTGCAAAAGAGAAAGAAAAATGAGGACAGAGTTGTATAACAGTTTCCAATATTCCTTTAATTATCCGAAAAGGGACATAACTAAGCACCTGTCATCTTCACAAACTGTGTTTATTTTTACACAGAACAGTTCTCTCATAATGGGAACAATATTGCAAAGGCTAATACATACAAATTAAAATCTACACAGAAACCTTAATTGCCTCCCCCTCAATTCTATGGCTAAAGACCAAAGCAGCCTTATAATTGGAGTAGTCTCCCGCCCAGCTTCTTTCCCAACGGAAAGCTAGGAAAGCTTCTTTCTTGATGTCCTTCTCCACTCAAAAAGGGCAGGCCTGGGTGCAAATGAAAACACATCAGGCTCCTTCATATACAAACCCAGAAGTCAACCTAACTTGGTATAATCGAAGTCACATGGATCTGCTTTGAATCTGTGCCATAGAATACGTGAATGCGGGACCAGCAGTTAGCGTAATGGCTATGTCGCTGGACTCCCACGTAGTCGACCACGGTTCGCATCCCGGACCTGGTGGCTTAAAACTCATGCCGGGCGCGTGTGCGTGCATGCCCAAGATCCCAAGAGGAGAATGGAGGAGAAGGGATTGCGGCGTGGCCATCCCCCCTGGGGGGTGATTTCTCGCTTTCTGTCTCTCTGTCTCTCTTTGTCCGGCGAGCGCACGTGCCCTATAGTAAAAACCTCTAAAAAAAAAAAAAAAAAGAAAAAGAATACGTGAATGCCAGGCTACAAGGACCTTCTCTTCTGCTGCTACTCAAAGTACAGCCATTGCCATAAATACACGTGAGTGCCTCCCACATGCCCAGCATTTTCGGTTGGGATCTGAGTGATAATCAAAGGACTTGTCATTCCTCCCTTCCTTTGGGACACATGCTTCCGTCCCGTTCAAAGTCATCAGAAAACAGGTATTTAGGCTATCTTCACAGGGGCCAAAGGTTTGAGGAGGGCAGTGCCATGTCTGTTGTTTCCTCGCTGTTCACTGGCCTAACACAGTGCCTGGCAGAGGGCAAGTCTCAAAATTTGTTTGATGAATGAATGACTTAAACAAATGGTTGAGTGGATGAAGGAATATCTTAGCTTTGAACTCCATAGGAATGCCACTTCTGCTGGATGACAAGTCAGTGATTAACAAGTTCGTGAACAGAATAAAATTTAATATTATAGTTTGAGAAGTTCTTATAGTCTCATATTCACAAAAACAAATACATATTGCTGAGGGGAAATGCTAGCCATTTCAAAAGCTACCTAGACAGAGACTGAGAAACAAGGCCTGGTCTCTCGTTGGCATGCCTCCCACGTCCACTCTGTCCTCCCTTCCTCCTCCCAGCCTTTGAAGACATGTGGGCTACACTGCCATGGAGACCAGCACTGGATGGCCAGAGAGCAGCAGGCACCAGCAGCAGCAAGAGTACAGCATGGGGGCAGTTCCGGGTCCAGCAGGAGCCATCGGAAACCTCAAACAATCAAGCTGGTATCTATAGGAAGGAGTAAACCTGATCCCAGATGTCAAATCAAGGAATGAGACTGAGCTAGGAGGTGACAGCCAAGACCCAGCCTACTCTACATGCTCTGATGGCACATCTTATGCCTCAGATCACTGACTGGGTGGTCCTGCTCTGTGAAGTTTTGGGAGGAATTTATCCAAAATCCTAAGATAAGCCTTTGGGGTTTCAATATGGATAATTTTATACTTTAAGTGTTAAATTTTTCTAGAAAATACTTCCTCAGTTGCATCTAATTTACCGAGAACTTGGTACTTGCTGCACAGCACGTTTCATGCATAGCATAAACTTGTGTGCCTCCTAGAATAGGAAAAGCCGTTCTTAATCTTAAATTGCTCTATTAAGTACTTTCAGCTAAATAAACTGTTTTGGATGGGAATGCTGTTTCATACTTTTGAAAAGGTTTTAGATATCATTTATTATGGTAAGTTTGAGAATCCACTTAAAAATAGTCTTTATTGGGCCAGCAGAAGGTGTAGTGGTTACATTGCTGGACTTCCACATGGTTGACCACAGTTGAGGTCCTGGACCCGTTGGCTTGAAAATCATGCCAAGTGTATGTGCGTTCATGCCCAAGATCCCAGGATAAGAATAGAGGAGAAGGCATTGTGGTGTGCCAACCCCCCAGGGGGTGATTTCTCACTTTGCCTCTCTCTCTCTCTCTCTCTCTCTCTCTCTTTCTCTCTCTCGCACACATGCTCTAAGGCAAAAAACCTCTCAAAATAAAACAAAAGGCTTTAGGTAACTTATTTCTATAAAACATGAGATCATCGTACAAACTTTAGTACCTCAGTTCATATATACTTATTCTTTACCAAGCACCTGCTTCTTTTTAGAAAGTATACAAAACACTCTAAATGAGGAAGTGACTCACCTTTGAAATTTCACCTTCATGACCTTCTAATTTGGAAATGCATTTTCTTGTGACTGCACTGAAAACTCTTGCTGTTCCTTTTTGAGAGGGGTGGGAATACAAACAAATTAAAGTGAAATGTAGAACTTTCAAGCAAAATGCTTGAATTACCTAAATACTCCTCTGACACAAGATTTGTGCAGCTTGTCGTCTTGCCTGTGGTGGGAGCCAGCCACTTAGTACTCTGAATGCAAAGTAGTCCCACTGCAGAAGATGGGGAAGTTTTTCTCTCCTTGAGCCTGTTAATAGAGATAATTTGGGGGACCAGCAGATCATGTGGTAGTTAAGGCGTGGGACTCCCACATGGCCAGCTGTAGTTTGAGTCCCAGACCTGGCATCTTTCTTTCTCACTTTCCCTCTCTCTTTCTGTCTCTCTCTGGTGAGGGCACATGTCCTATGGCAAATTAAAAAATAATAACAACAAAATAATTAAATAATTCTAAAAAAAAAAAGTAATCAGTTCCAACGTAGCAAAGGGATGGGGAGAGGCAGAATCCAGGAGTATAAAATGATTTTAAGAAGAAAAAGGGAAATTGAAACCAGTCTCAAGTAGATGAAATAAGCAAGACACGCATGGCACAGCAGGTCTGCGTGTGCGTGAACGGCGATGCACAGGCCTTCCTAAGAACACCAGTTGCTATCCAAAGACTGGAAGAAGCTAATCAAATGTGTTCCCTGATGCACCCCCAGTGAAAGGTCCACAGTAGACCCTCAGTGAAGAGATGCAGGATGGACAGAATGGTGGGTGAAAAGATGAATGAGTGGATGGGAGAAGTGCATACATTTCCTTAGACTTAGGGCACAGGGAGTGACAGGAGCATGGAAAGAGAAAAACGGCTGTGAAATTGTCAGGAGAAGAGTGACAATTGAATTGTCAACTGAAGGATGCTTCCTTTTCAAAAAATGTCTATAGAATTAAATAAAGGTAACATAGAGCAAGGATAGAAATTCAGGTACTTAAAAAGGAAAAATATCCTACTGTATTTCTAATTTACCTTTCTAATAATATCAACCTCAGGGGGAGGTAGATAAAAGTGATAAAAATTGCTTTCAGAATTAGTGTGAGAGCCAGCCCCTTAGTGTGGTGGTAAAGGGGAGTCATATCGGATCCTACATGACCAGTCGCAGGCTGGGTCCCAGCCCCAGTGCCAGCCCATGTACACACATGTCCAGTTCCCAGCAGATGGAGAAATGGAGGAGAATGGATTGCAGCATGGCCACACTCCATTTGGGGAGGGGAGGGCTTTCTCCCTCTCCTTCCCTCTCACTTTGTCTCTCTGTTTCTCTGTCTGGTGAATACATGTGCCCTCTGGCAAGAAAGAAAAATGGAATTAATATGATTAAAAATATAAAACTTGGGGATCAGCAATTGGTGTAATGGTTATGTCACTTGATTCCCATGTGGTTGGCCGCAGTATGAGCCCCAGACTCAGTGGCTTAAACTCATGCCAGGCGCGTGTGTGTGTGTGCCCAAGATCCCAAGAGGAGAATGGAGGAGAAGGGATTGTGGCATGGCCATCCCCCCTTGCGAGTGATTTCTTGTAGATAGATAGATAGATAGATAGATAGATAGATAGATAGATAGATAGATATAGATATAGATATTTTAAGAAGAAAAACAGAAATCGAGTTTATATATATAAACTCGGGACCAGCAGATAGTGTAATGGCTATGTCACTGGACTCCCATGCAGTCGACTGTGGTTCAAGTCCCAGACCCAGCAGCTCAAAACTCATACCAGGCATGTGTGCATGCATACCCAAAATCCTGAGGAGAGAATGGAAGAGATGGAATGGCACTATGGCCACCCCCCACCACCACCACCAAGGGGTGATTTCTCACTTTCTGTCTCTCTGTCTCTCTCTCTCTCTGACAAGTGCACATACCTTATAGAAATATTTCTCAGACAACAACAAAAAATGTATAAAACCTAGATGGATTTTAAAATACCTCAAAGAAAATGAGTCAGTTTATTTTAAAAGTGGATCAGTAATACAAAAGGGAATATCCAGGGAATATCCTACGTTGACTAATACTCTAAATTTTACAAAAGCATGTGCTTTTTTGTTTGTTGTAGGTTTCTGTGATTTTTGTTTTTTGGGGTTTTTTTGCTTGTTTTGTTTTGTTTTTAAATTTTTGCCATAGGGCATGTGCACTGACGAGAGAGACAGAGAGAAATAGAAATAGTGAGGAGGAAAGTGGGAAATCACCCCCCAGGGAGGTGACCACATCACAGTCCATTCTCCTTCATTCTCCTCCTGGGATTTTGGGCACATACACACACACCTCAGGCATGATTTTCAAGCCACCAGGTCTGAGACTTAAACTGCGGTCAGTCATATGGGAGTCCAGTGCCATAACCATTACACCACATCCTGGCCCCATAAGATTCGACCTTTAAGAAGGGTATTAGGAGCAAAGACCAGAGATAAATAAAACAGGTTGATCTAAAAATCAAGATTTCTTGAGAAGGACAAAATGAGAAGAGATCTACAGGGTTAAAGTTGCTAGACTCCCACACGGCCAACCACGGTTGGAGTTCCCAACCCAGTGGCTTGCTTTCTCACTATCTCTCTCTCTCTCTCTCTTTCTCTTACTATTTCCCTTTCTGGTCAAATTAAAATTAATTAATTAAACAAATAAAGTTTAATAAAATAATTCTTTAAAAAAAAAGAAGTCTATATGCATGCCAAAAAAAAAAAGACTAAAACAATTGTTTGGTTTTACTTATTTTTTTTAAATTAATAATAGGGAGCATGCACATGAGTGAAAGAGACAAAAAGAAAGAGAGAGAAGTACCTTGACAGATTCTTGCCACACCACAATCCCCTTTCCCTAGCCCTCCAGCACATCGGGATCTTGGGCATGCGAGAATTCACCTAACTTGTTTTCAAGCTGATCTTGGGATCCAAACCTGCAGTCAACCTGTGGCTTCCAGCACAGACGTTCAGTTTTGCTACTGATGGTGCCAACATTCTAGGCCAGATTTTTTTGTTGTTGTTTAAAATAATTTATTATTGAGCAAGGAAAGAATGGAGTCACTACTAAGGGAACTAGCAGATGGTAGAGAGAACAAAACTAGAAGAATTAAATTTACATTAGAGCTCATTCATCCCTCAGCATCCTGGTTTTCCAACCTGTTTCTCTCATCATACCACTATCTGTCTTCTGAAAGCTTATATAGCTGAAAAGTGATGTAATCTAACATTCTAAATATGTAATACAGGTCAGATACTACTTATGTGGGTTCTTCAAAACGTTCATGGAAATTCATATCATGAAAATCTCTATGTATGTATTTCAAAATAAACTCACATTTTTTAAAGAATTGTTTTATTTAACATTTATTTATTTATTTATTTATTTATTTATTTATTTATTTTATTTGACCAGAGAGAGACAGAGAAAGTGACAAAGCAAGCCTTACCTACCAGGCCAACTGCTGGTCCCATAAACTCACATTTTTAACTCCATTTTTTTCCATGAACTTTTTCAAGTCCTCTTACATGTTTTTCTCTGTATCCTATCCCACTAAATAACTCCATAGGGCAGTAATTTGTAACTCTTTTGTTCAATGATATAGCTCATGTTCATGAAATAATCCCTGGCACAAAATGGCATTTATTATTATTATTATTATTATTATGGAGAGGTTTTTGCTAAAGGATGCATGCACTCACTAGAACAACAGAGAGAGACAGAGAGACAGAAAGTGAGAAATCACCCTCCTCGGGGGGATGACCATGCTGCAATCCCTTCTCCTCCATTCTCCTATTGGGATCTTGGACACACACACATACACACACGCGTGCCTGGCATGTTTAAGCCATCGGGTCCGGGACTCGAACCATGGTCAACTACATGGGAATCCAGCGACATAGCCATTACGCCAACTGCTGGTCCCAAAGCAGTTATTTTAATACATATTGTTGAATAAAATATTTCAAGAAGACAAGGAAATACATTACAGCATCATAGGGCATTTTCAAGGTGCTAAATCTGAGATAAGTAGCATGATGCGTGGAAACCAGGAATATGAGATGGACATAAAGACTTGTCATAGATCGTCATCAGAGAGATGCAGCAGACAATGCAATGCACGTGTCACGGGGAAGACGACATGGGCTTGGTAAAACACATGCGTAGTTTTATGAAGATGAAGCGCACTCAGTATAACATTGTACAGGGGGGTCAAGGAGGGACACAACATAGGTATTTCAGTAACGGGATGATACAGACAATGGACATCACTGAGAGACGGCACACACTGCAGCATCGTACGTGGATATCAAGACGACAGAGACAGACATGATACAGCAGCAGGCTCTTCCCTTGGGAGATAATCCACAACACAGTATCCCAAATGTGATGAAGGAGATGATACTTAATGACTTACAGCCATGTGTTGATCATGGAGATGACGCAGACAGTAGTGCCGCATGTAAGATATTCAACAAGGTAAAGCAGATTTAGGCTGAGGTCGCAGGTGGCTGCTAGAGTCACCCAGTGCAGCACCACAGTGCAGCACCACACACGCTCCCGAAGGCTATTATGCAGATACGCTGCAGTGTAATACTGCTTAAATCAAGGTGACCCAGAGGACAGCTCATGTCCTAAATCATCAGCAAGGAGGGGACCCTCAGAATAAGCATGACAAATAGGTCTAAAGGTGAATTCTAAAAGTGGGTTATTATCTGGATTATTCAAGTACAGTTCATACATGTACATGATTATGATGATAAAGGAGATGGCAGAGAAATGGCATAGCAGGACACGGGTTTGTCAAGAACATGGGAAGAGATTACACTCTATTGCACACATTGTCAGAGACCATGCAGACATCTTACAGCATCAGACATGATCATTTGTGACATGACCCAAAATATAGTGTGTGCAGTATTTCTCTCTCTCTCTCTCTCTCTCTCTCTCTCTCTCTATATAATGGTGGCACACCCATAGTTCCCATGTTAACAGGCAGACACACTGTGGCATGCTACCTGATTACCAAGGAGATGACCAGAATACACCATCCGACGTGGTTATCAAATAAAGGATGAAGGCAATAGAACGTCACATATTGTTTCCAAGGAGAGGGTGCAGATATAACATTTTAGTTCTGAAGGAAATGAAGACACAGATATAAGGAAGCACGGTAGGTGGTCGTCAGGGGATGATGCAGTGAAGCACTGTGGAGGATGCCCGTGGCAGGACACCAGTGTGGAGGACACGTGGCGTGATGCATGATCATCAGGAAGATCAGCAGCACAGCCTGGAGCTCGGTGTGTCGTCGCCAGGAGACGACACGGGGAGAGCTCCACATCACAGCCAGGGACCAGGGAGATAACACACAGACTGGCATCCAACGCGGTCACAGAAGTTGACATAGATACAGCATAACACGTTTGGGGGGCCAGGAGATTAGGCATAATGTAACGTCACACCTGGTCCTGAAAAAGATGACCCATACATGAGTCAGTATAGTGTAAGACAGACACACAGACACAGAGCATAGACACAGATGTTGTTGTCATGCTACAATGCACACACAACACGGCAGCACACGTCATAAGAATACATCAGACTGTGCAGTGGCATACATCGTCACCAGGTAGGTGACACGAGTGTAAGGTAGCATCTGTGGTCCCTGGGGAGATGACACAGACACTGTGTGGTTTTATAAAGAGTCCTCAAGGAGACAACGAGAGAAGGGACAGCGTCATACATGGTGTGTCAGGGATAGAGCACACACGTGGAATCACATCGCATGTGGTAACCAGATGATGGCAGAAGAAGTACGTTTCGCTATCAACATGGTGACATGGACGCAGTAGGGAATCATAAGCTGCTGTCTGTGATATGATCCAAGAGGTTCTTGTAGTCTATGCGGTTATGAAGAGGATTGGAGACGATGGAGACATATTCCTGAAGGAAACACTCATCAGGAAGACAAAGACGTGTTGCTGCAACATCCTTAAATATCCAGGGCATGTCACGGAAGTGGTCTAGCATAGTCCTTTGTATGCAAATGGAATATAAGTGGTTTCAAAAACAGGAAGAGGACATAAAATAATGCACAGGCAGAAAATGCAACTATGTAGTATGTCTTAAGAGCTGCTTGGGGCTGAATTGTCTCTCCAAATTCGTGCAGTGAAGTACTTAATGTCAGTACTTCAGAATGTGACTGTGTTTGGAGATAGAGTTTTCAATTTTTTTTATTTATTATTTTTAATTTTTTTGAGAGAGATTTTTGCTATGGAGTGCATGTGCTGGCTGGAGAGACAGAGAGAGACAGAGAGAGAAAATGAGAAATCACCCCTGAGGGGAGATGGGCATGCCTCAATCCCCTCTCTTCCATTCTCTGAGGATTCAGGGGAATGTGCATACACACACACCTGATGTGAGTTTTAAGTCGCTGGGTCCAGCACTCGAATCTTAGTCAACCACATGGGACTCCAGCAACATAACCCTTACACTATCTACCAGTCCCCAAAGACAGGATTTTTAAAGAAGTAATGAAGTTAAGATAAGGTCATTGGGAGGACCCTAATCCAGTACAGCTGGAGTCCTTATAAGAAACGATGATTAGAACTCAGACATGTGTGGGTGACCACGTGAAGCCACAGAAAGAAGACCTCCATCACGAGCCTCAAAAGAAAGCAATCTTGCCGACATCTTGAGCTCAGCCTTCGGGCCTCTGGAATTGTGAGAAAATACATTTCTTTATTTAGGCCGCCCAATTCGTGGTGCTCTGTACAGCAACCTTAGTGATATAGTCATTAAAGAGAACGCGGTTACAGAACAGCGTTACCTGTGCAGGTCCCGAGGTTTCACCAAGTGTAACATCACACGTGACTGCCAAGGAAGAAATGCAGGCACCTTACAGGACTGTGCATGGTTGTCATAGAGATTACCACTACTAGAATAGCACACAGGATTATTTTAAAATGTGCAAACATAACATAGCTTCATCCACTGTCAGGACATGATGAGCCACGGTATAACTTCATACATGGTTGTCAAGGAGATGGTCCAAAAAGGCTGTAGCATCATTTCGGTTGTCAGGAAGATGACTCAGATACCATGTGGTTCACGCACTACCAGAAGATGGTGCGTGGAATAGTGGTACACGTGGGCCTCAGGATGATGACACAGACACAGTTTTGTGTCATATGAGGATACCATGATTTGACTGAGATGTATTGCACTGCTACAGGTGTTTATCAGGAGTATGAGGCTGACATACTGAAGTATCATAAGTAACAGTCAGGGAAGTAACACAAAGTATTGTATCATGGGGCCACCAGGGAGCATGGAGTTTAAGGTGACTGGATCCCACATGGCCAACTGCACAGTTCAAGTCCCAGACCTCCTGGTGGTTTGAAAAATACACCAGGCGTATCGTGTGCATGCCCAAAATCCTGAATGGAGGATGGAGAAGGGATTGCAGTGTGGCCATCCCCCAGGGCGGGGGTGATTTCACACTTTCTCTCTTGCTCTCCGGCAAGTGCAAGCACACTAAGGAAAACTAAAAAAAAAAAAAAAAAAAAAAAAATTGCAAAAAAAAATAAACTAAAAGAATTATATCATCAGACTCTACTTTCCAAACGACACAGACATAGTACAGTGTCATACGAATCTGTCCTGGGGACAAGTCGTAGTACACTATCCTACATGGCTTCTATGGACATGGTGCAGAAATGGTATAGGTCACATACTACAACATCGTATGAGCTGGTTAAAGACATGATAAAGTGATAGTGTAACATCATATATACTTGCTCAGGAGATCTCACAGGTGACATCACACATGGCCGTCTACGACATGAGGCACGTACGATGCAGCATTTCACATGGCTGTCAAGGAAATCATTACGTTTAACCCTAGTGACCATCGAGTAGATGATGTAGGTGCTGTGCAATATCATGCGTGTTTTTAAGAACATGATGCAGTACACGTGCTATCACTCGTGGCCATTGACAAGATCATGAAGACAATGCTGTGTCTACCCGGTCACCGGGGAGATGATGCGTCATAGTGGAGTGTCTTACCAGGTGATAAGACGGCACAGACGTAGCATGTCATGATGTGTTGTCATCAGAGAGATAACACAGACATTAGAGTGTCATAGTAGTTCCCAAGGATATAAGGCAGATGCGGCATAGTATCGAACACGGTCTTAAACAGTACATAAAGCCATAGTATGGAATATTATGTGACTTTTAAAAAGATGAGGCAGACACCAGTAGATTAATATATGGGACAGACACAACATGATGTCACACTGACATACGTGTTCAACAGGGAGAGGACAGATATAATGTAGATCACATGTGGTCTTCATGGAATTGCGGCAAGCCTGACATAGCACTATACACGGTTATCAATAAGGTGCTATAGACATGGCGGAAAACCGTAAGAGGCCATCGAAAAGCTAGAGTATGGCATAACATCACATACGCTGATCATAAAGATTTGGCAACCATACTGGAAGAACATGTGTGGGGTTTTTTTGGTTTTGTTTTTGTTCTTTTTTACCATAGGGCACATGCACTCCCCCCAGAGAGAGCAAGGCAGAGAGAGACAGGGAAAGGAAAAGTGGGGAATCACCCCTCAGCAGAGATGGTCATGCCACAGTCTCTTCGGCATTCTCCTCCTGGAATTCAGAGCATGCACGTTTACATGCCTGCAGTGATTTTCAAAGCTACTGGGTTCAGGACTCAAGCAGTGGTCGGCCATATGGAAGTCCAGCACTTTAACCACTACACTGCCTGCTGTCTCCAGCATGTGGTTTTTAAGGACATGGTGCAGATTTTTTACAGCACCATCAATGGAGGTAAGTTTGATGAGGCCAACATCGGGTATTCTCATGTAGTGAGTTCGGTAGGGAGAACTGCTCAGAGGACAGCCTCGTATGTGGTTATCCTGGAGAGGACCAAAGTCTCAGGTGGCTGTCAGGGAGATGGCACAGACTGTACAGCATCACGTGTAATTGTCAAGAGCATGATACGGACATACCATGGCTACACAAGTAACCAAAATGGAGATGAGGCATATGTAGTATCCATTCTAGCTGGTTACTGGAGAGATGACCCACAGTGTACAATCAGGTGTATTTACCAAACAAATCATCCATCTCTCCACAAGTAAATGCACGAATAGATCACCTACCATCCGCTGAGGCTGTGGCAATAAGCTTTCCGGTGTAATCAAAGCAGCTATCTAGTATTTCATCATCATGACCCGTTAGGGTTGCCACATGTTTTCCACTAAGAGCATCCCACAACTGCAATAAAAAAAGAAAAAGACTAAGACTTCCTGTCTAAAATGTGAAGAGGGTCAGTGGTCTTAATGACATACTGTGGCTGGTTAAAAAATAATAAAATAAAATAAATCTGCCAGAATTGCTTGTGTAATTTTTACATTTCCTATTAGCTTTATCTTAATTTATGAACAGGGACCACAGTCAACTATTTAGGAAGCACACTTAGGATACAGAGAAAACCAAAGTCAGACATTTAGAATCCACCACTGCATTGGGAAAAGAAAACAAAAATCTCATACTTTGTGCTTAAGGACTGGCGTGGAAGGAGCCTCTCTTTACTGGGAAGACAGCAAATACTAAGAATCTTTTCTGAAACTACAATGTCATAAAATGAAAAGCACAAAATACATTAAACATGTAATCAAGTGTTATGAATTCTAGAATATAAGTTCTGGATTCTTCCACATTTCTTAGAGGCAAGGAAATACTGAATGTGAGGGTCCTTGAGGGTCACTCTAATCAAAACTTAATACATGAACAGTGGATACTAAACAAAAACAACATATCTTTTAAATAAGACCTTTAATACCTTTAAAACAATTAAAATTATTTTACTGTATCATGAGACTTTCAACTTTGAGAAATCTGAAACTTGAAAAATGACCAATTATCATGTATAAGTAAATACCTTAATTTTGTACTATATTTGGAATTTGTGAATGTTCTCAGGAATATCTGACAGTGAAGCGTGTGGACGCAATATAAGTGGAAGGTGTTTCTTTTGCTCACCATGCAGGTTTTGTCCATAGAGCCAGTCAATATCAAAGAGCAGTCCCAATTGAATAAGGCGCTGCTAATTTCAGCACAATGACCAATTAACGTACATACCCTCCTGCAACATGGAAATGATTAAAACTGATGACAGTACATACTGTGGATATGCACAATAATGAGATCAAGCCCAGCTGTGTGAACTAAACGTGGGATTTCACACAATAAATCTGAAGACAAAACAAAAAATGGCTCTACTGTAACTCAAAAAGAGAGGACTAATTTTGTTTAAACAAAAATGTACTTAAGTTTTAAGTAATCAAACATAACATTAAAGCAACACTTCAGAAAGCTATGGGTATTAAATAACAAGGGCAGTTCGAAATTTTAGACTTAATCTTACACCAGATGAGTGGACCCCTGGTGGTTCAGAAACTACACGTCAAATACCAGAAAGGCCATGCCTCCTCTCTGATGCCTTCCTGGGTACATCTCAGTCAGTGCTCCTGGAAAGCAGCCTCTTTTTTCAAGTGCAGACAACCCCAAGAGTGGAGCTTTCCAACACAAATAGATGCTAATTTAGTTAACTTCTTAGCAACTAGGACCAAAAATCATTAGGAAGGAAATTAAAGTTCTTAGGCAAATTAAATTTGGAAAATTAACTATGAGTTTTATTTATTTAATAGTATATTTATGCCTACCATAATGATAATCCACTGAAACATGATTATATAGAACAAGGAATAAAATAATAGCTAAATAACCAGGCTAAAGCTAATATTCTCTTTTTATGTTGCTGTTTGGCATTATTTTGCTCAGAATTCAAAGAAAGCACATATATTGTGGGTCAGAAATATGATTAATGAAGGAATCCATTTATGTTTTCAATGTGTCCTATTTGCATGACACCCGGTTAATAGATTTAAGATTAAACTGATAAATAATAGAGTGTCTTCATGATCCCTAGATCCAGGCTTAAAAAATTCTTAAGACTTAAGAATCACCTTCCGGTACCAGCATCCCACACAGCCACTGTATGATCGAAAGAACCTGTGATGATTCTGTCTCCTGAAGTGTTAAATGATAAGGCGATGATTTCGGCAGAATGACCCTAGAGAAAGTGAAGATGTTGTCATGGATACCCAGAGATCAGACACTTTCTACTAGTTTACAGTCATAACAAGGTTCTAAGCTATAGTTTGTGTTTTCTATGGGCTGAAGTTAGTTCAAATGGGAAGCTCAATCTGGCTTCCCCAGAACTACCGAGGAGTCTTCCTTGGTATCCCTAGCACAGCAGTCAGAACACTCCTCCACTACAATTTGAAAACCAATAGTGCAAAATGTCTTCTAACATAGAGCTCCTTTTGTAACAAAAATGCAAAGGCAAACAAACAGAACAGGCCGAAGGACATACTGTTAAGGTGAACGCTTCCTCTCCATTCTGAACGTCCCACAGTTTGGCTGTTGTGTCCATACTTCCTGTAGCCACCAACGTACTTTGAGGGTTAAATGACAAGCACACCTGAATTACACGAAATGGAAGGAATGTTAGAAAGATGAGTTTCCAGACTTTAATTATATATAAGAAAAAGCAAGATGCAATTACTTTGGCAGGTTCAGTTTAAATCTTTGTACAAATACACAGCAAAAGTAAATATGGGTGACTTACTGTCCCCATGTTGAATCTGAAGTGGCTTCTTCTTGACCAGAGGCTGTGTGTTCTCCTAGCTCAAGCTCAGAGGGCCTCTGGCGCCCTCTGCCACTTCCAGACCACAGTAGAACAAGAACAAAAGCAAAACTCATCTCTGTTGAGACTCGTGCTATCTGGCTTCCATCTTCTTTGCCGTTGTTATCACAACGCTTTCAATCTCACTCTCTCACTCCTCAAGGACTTTGGCTACTGGCTCAGTATTGATTCCAGGTCCTTGGTGGGCTTCATGTAAGCAGTTCACCCAGTATCCCAGACCCTTGCCCTGGACTCCTCTTCAGTAATCACTTCCACACCATAGTCTGGGCCTTGACATCACCTCCTGAAGATTCACCACCAATTCACCAACTTCTCATTAGTGTTTCCCAATACTTTCAACTTTCTCTCTTGCATACTACTCCCCCAACCCAGGATACCTTCCATCTCATTGGGACCCTGTCTTTTCTCCTTGTTTATTATCTTCATTCAACAGACATCCTGGAAGCATCACTCCTGCCAGCATCCTAGTCACTCTTAGCGCCCATCTTTCAAATGCACCCTCTACATAAATGCCTGCTGTTAATTTGCATCACACTAAGACTTTATCCAATCACCTGCCTTCCCTGCCTCATGACATAGGCAAGGTAAGTTAAGAAAACAGGATGGATGCCTGGTATTGCTCATTCATGTCCTCTGTCCTCTGCTGAGTCCTCAGCTCCACTCCCTACTCTGTTTAACATCCCTCTGGCCCCAGTGCCTTCTGCCATTCCACTCTTCCTCCCTCTGCTCTCCACAACAGATAACCTGGACTCCTACTACTTCCCTGTGAAAATTCACAGGTCAGGTGGGAACTTCTTCACTTAGACATACTTTCCTTCCTTTCAGTCTCACAAGCAGAGACAAGGTCCCAACACTCATTCTAGGACCCCCTTCCCTGAATTCCTAGAAGAGGTATGTCTGCTAACTCTTCCTTCCCTCTAGACTAGATCCTTCCCAGAGACCTGTAAATATACTGGAGAAGTCATAGGAAAGAATCCGTTCCATAAAATAACCTGGACTTTGCCCACCCAGCGTTATAATCAGTAGAGGTTACAAAAGAGCAGCCACAGGATTGCCTTGAGGAAGACTTTGAAGGAAGAAAAAGAGGTTGATCTTTGCTAGCAGAGGTTGAACCACAGAGTATGTGGTAGGCAAAACTGAGTTGGGAAGGTTCCTGTGTGAATTATGAGCTGGGTGTTTGCTTCTCAACAATTTGAATAGTTGAGATGTAAGCATTTTCTCAAAAATATTTAAAACTGGGGCCAGCAGGTACATGGTGGTTAAGGGCACTAGACTCCCACATAGCCAACTACCGCTCGAATCCCAGACCTGACGGCTTGCTGTCTTGCTTTCTCTCTCTCTCTCTCTCTCTCTCTCTGGCTCTTGCTCTCACTCTGTCCCTCTCTGGTCAAATTAAAATAGATAAATAAATAAATTTAAAATAATTATTTAAAAAAATACTTAAAGTCATATGGTTTCTGTTACAGGGTCACAAACAAAATTATAACAAATATTTTGAAAGTTATTTTTAAAATTCAATTTCTTGGGAAATTTTCAAATGTTTATTAACTCAAGAGTTATGGACTATGAGTGAAAATGTTTTGATATGTAAAGTAAATGTGACAAAATGTGAATAAATTAAATAAATAAATAAATAAAACATAACCTGAGAATTCTTTATAATCAGAGAAATATTTCCATATATAAAGCTCTGACTAAAACACCCTTGATTTTTAGGAGCAGTAGTGCACTTATTTTTAAAAGCTACCACCTGTCCCATAGGGTGCCAGTTACCTTACTGGTATAATATGTAACATAGAATTAGCTGAGAGCCAAAAGTAAAAGTAAGCAAGTATCAGATTATTCTTATAAATCTGAGTTCTAATGATAGCCAAAAACAACCAATCTAGACATTTCACATGATATTAAAAATGTTATTTTCAAAGCTATTTTAATAGCTTCAGCAATCCTTGTATAATCAGCCCTTTAAAGATAAGTCAATGAAATAAAAGTAAGATGGAACATTGTACGCACATACTCATTATAGTACATGTCTATTTAGACAACACAGGCTATAGCTCTTGACAACATCTGCAAGCTATTACGGCAATAATGTTTAAATTATATCAATACCACCATTATACAGTATAAACAGACTCAAAATAGGAGTAAAGGATCTGAAAACTAATTATAAAAGTAGAACCACTAGTTTTATAATGGAATCCTAAAAAGAAACAGCAATTCAAATATAAAACAAATTGTTAAATATACTCACTATTTCAGCGGTATGTCCCCTAAAGGTATGGTAACATTTTCCCGTTTCTACACTCCATAATTTACAAGTCTTATCAAAGGACCCAGTGGCTATTTTGTCACTAAGATTTAAAACAAACAAAAAAATTGGATTTTAAAAACAAATTCAGCCACATTATATGACACACTAAACTAAGACGAGATATTAATCCATTGATCCCTACACATTGGGTGGTTGGAAAAGTCATGATGCACAGTGGATAACAAAGGAGTAGAAGCAGATTAGCCTGTTTGGCCTTTGACCTTGGAACTAAAACCTTTTCTTTTTCCCCAGTCCATTCAGTCTTTTATAGAAAGTCATCAAAATATCCACCCAACTTTGTCATTATTTACAGTGAAAGTTCAGTGCAAGTCTGTAAGGATCGTAAGACCCAACTACACATACTAAGCTAATTACAAGTGCCCATTACAGTTTCAGAATTTATATTTGCTCAGACAAATACTAATGTCTTGTTTCTCTGGGCTGGTCCTACAACCTAGTGGTCAAGGGAGACAGATCCCACATGACTGACCATGTGGGTCAAATTCCAGGTTCAATGACTTGGAAAATACGCTAGGCATGTGTATATGCATGCCCCAGATCCTGACGGATGGGGAGATGGAGTAGAGGACTGCATGACCAGGCCCCACTGGGAGTGCTTTCTCCCTCTTCCTCTGTGTTTCTTTCTGATGAGCACACATGCCCTCTGGCTTAATAAAAAGTTTCGCTTCTCTTTTCTGTTCCAAGAACATGCACACAGTATTTTTATGGTCTCTCATATGAAAAGAAAGCAAGGCCCTTCCTATAGATGCTTAGGTCAGCTCCATCTGGTGAACACCCACCCACCAAAGCTACATAACACACAAGCCTGAGTACTTCACTTGAAATCTCTGGATTGGCTTTCTCCTTTGGCATCCAGTAGAAGGCATTTTCCATGAGCTGCTGAAGTCTTTCAAATTCTGCCCAAGATAAGCTTGGAATAAGTTCTTTATTAATTCTCTGACTCATTTCTCCATTATTTCTGCCTCAAATTAGTCTCAAGTTGCTGTTAGTTGTTGACCAATTTCTGTTCTATCACAAACTGTTCTCTACATTCACAATACACCACATTATAAAAGATATTACTAATGTCAATGTTTCTTAGAATTACTTTATTGAATCAAGGCTTAGTTCTGATCTAATATAAAAATCAGATAAAATAAACTAGTTGAAGTTCATTCTCTCTCTCTCTCTCTCTCTCACACACACACATATTATATCTTATTTTTTACTGGTTGTTGTAAACTTACTTTGCTGAGACCTCAGTGCCCCAAAGTGCAATGAAAAACCCTGATTCAGTCCATACACAAATCGCCAGACTGGGATAGGTAGACATCTAGTTGGACAAGGAGATTTTTCACCAGTGGTTCTTGGTACAAACCAATAGAAGGGTCGAAAGTATTCACTCTCCATTCCCACAAAACTGTCTTCTCAAACAGACATCCCAAAATAGCATATCCATTAATTACACTATTAAAGGATATGATATTATTAATATTTTATAGAGAATATCCTTCAAATAGCTTTGCAACAAATGTAGGAATTATAGTAGAAGTAAAACAGTATTCATAAGTTCAATACGATCTTTCTTTTCACAAGTTGGCATAGTACAGTATAAAAACTGTCATCCTCTGTAATGTAAAAATACATAGATCAAAGCTAAATTTTCCATAATTTAATTGGAGTATTTAATCATTTTAATGTACCAATTAAATTTGATTATGTCATAGCGATTAATGTGTTTTGAAAATGTATTACATTTTCACAAGATACAGTGATATCGTTTTTCAAAATTACAGAACAAAATTTCTACCCTAAATGCTTTGAATTTTTATACTATTTCTCTATTCCTTCTGCCACTATTCCAGATGGAGTTGTCATTGTCTCATGAATGTGTTATTGTATCTGCTTCCTAATTAATCTCCTTGCCTTCTGTTTCTTCCCACCTCCAAACGCTCTGACCCTTTCACTCTGCCAGAGCAATCTTTCTAAAACTGCACTTTCGTTATTTCACTCCTTTGTTCCCAAACCCTTGATAGCTACTCAGTCTTACAGAGCAGAGCTTAAACTCCACAGGAGTTTCGGACCTCACCCACTTCTATTTCTCAACATGAAATGCTCACTAGAAAGACTGGCCACTGAGTGCTCAACAAATCCCACCTTCGAGTACTGACTGGTGAAGTCCTTTTGCCCACGGTGCTCTCTCCACTCTCCCTACCTTCCATCCTTCAGGCTTATGTTTTAATCTCAGGTCATCTTTAAAGACTCTCTAAGTGAAATCACAATACTCCCTCTCTCTTTAGGAGAGAGGGATTGAGCTCTCTGTACTCGCATGCGTACTTGTTTTACATATTCTTTGTATGAAAGTCATACTATCTGTACCAAAGACTCCTTCAAGCATTGAAGGTGGTATTTTAAATGCTTCCGAAGCACATACCAGATGCTCAATAAGTTATAGTCATCTATCTTCTTCCTTTCCTCCCCCAAGACAGAGCAGGATGAAGAAGCGATTTAGTGGGGAACGAGAGAGTGAACTCACAGACCCGTAAGGATTGTTGAACGCTATGGCGTAGACCACGTTCCTGTGGCCCTCCAGGGTGTGCAGCTCCTCTCCAGACGCCGTGTCCCAGAGCTTGCATGTCCGGTCGTAGCTCCCTGTGATAAAGCTAACGCAGGAATACAAACACATTGCAGGGAGGGAAGGCAGCGGGTTAGTAGAGACCTTTTCACCTGCAGGGTAATGATGCTATTTTGCTTTTTATGATGGAAATTTTATGTGCCACAAAAAAAAAAAAAAAAAAAAAAAAAAAAAAAAAAAAAAAAAACAGCTAAATTGGAAACAAAATCTAAATCCAGTGACTTGGAAGCTCACCAATTTTTTATCTCAAACTCCAAAACAAGTCACTAAATAAAATTAAGAGCTAGACTGCTTATAATGGTTACATTTCTAGATATATGTAATTAAATAATGCATACAATAATCAGTAACATTTCCTGAAACTCTAACACATCCCAATCATTAGCATCATTCTTCCCGTTGTTCTGACCGTGAAGTCTCAGTATCACCTTGGTCTCCCCTTTTCCTCCCTCCACACGTATCTATCAGTACATTGACATTGCGTTGCGGCAACACCAGAATACGCCCCTAATGTGGCCGCTTCTCACCAGCTTCATGTTACCATCTCTTTCCTAAAGAAATGAAACCAGCTTCTAGGGGATCTTGGCTCAAGCAAGATCTTTAAAGATCTATTTTCCTTACAGAAACTGGGTATGTTTTTTAAGCTTTCTCAAATGGTTTCCTAGGACCCTGGAAGAAAACTCAAACTTCTGCTCATGGTCGTAAGGGCAGCAGTACCCAGAATATCAGCTTCTCCCAAAAGCACAGCCAGCTCTGCCACATTCACCTTCTTGCTAGTCTCCAAAGAACCAGAGTTCCCTCTGCACGCCAGTGCCATGGCCCATCTGATTTACCGCCGTGTTCCCCGGGACCTACAACATTGACTGAAATACTGAGTTCAATAACTATATTCTGTTTACTGCGTACATGGAGCCAGCCCCAAGGCATAGTGGTTGAAGGAGCCAGATTCCACCTGGCCAACTGTGGTTCAGGTCCTGGCCTCGACAGCTTAACAAACACACCAGGTGCCAGTGCATGAGTGCCCAGAATCCCAGCAGCATGGATAGGTGGAGTCAAATGGATTGGGCCACGACCGGGCCCACTGGGAGATGTGTTGCCCTTTCTCTGGCAAACAAATACATGTACCTTCTATTGGGTTATCAGAAAAGTCATGATGTATTTTTCTATGCAAAAATGCAACATGACTTTTTCAACAACCCAACATCAATTATACACACACAAACACACACAAACACACGCATCTATCCCCTTTATATATATATATATATATATATATATGTCAATTAGTAAACAGATCTTTCAACATGACTATTCTATAAGAACACTTGGCATAGTGACATCAGACATGTTTTAAAGTTTATTTATTGCTTCCATAAGGTGGGGGGGGGGGAATGGAGAGACAGAAATCTCAACAATCCTCACACTGTGTTCCATCCCTAGACTCAGATAGCCCAGTTCATAGGCATGTGTGTGTGTGCCTGGCATGCCCAGGGAGGTTCCGGGATGGAACCTAGGACCTACAATGTGGGTCCAGTTTTGTTACCACTGTACCACCACCTGGCCCAGACATCCAATATTTTAATGTAAAATAGGAGCATATTAGTCATTCCTTAAGGATTCAATTATTAAAAAGACTTCCTTTTTAAAATAGCTCTGAAATAGAAAAACAATGGCTCTGAAACAGACACGGAAGTACAATGAAAGATTATTTCCCAGCAAAGGAAAAACCCATAAAATTTAAAAACCAAGTGTCAAGTGGTAATGATAAAATAATAAAAACTAATTCTGATACCAAAGTCCACCTGGAAGGAAAGTTGACAGAACAGAGTATCCTTCATCCTTTCCCAGGTATCGTCCTTCTAGCTTCCTCTCCTATGATCTTCCTCTACCTTCGGATAAATGTAGACCTGCATTTGCAACTGCACACACGTGCACTACAGACATTGTTACTGAATAAATTGCCTCCCCCGAAATTCATATGGTGAAGTCCTACCGCCACCCCACAGTTCCTCACAATGACTACATTTGAAAATAGTCACTGCAGATGCGGTTAGTTAAGATGAGGGCACGTGGGAATAGGGTGGGCTTCTAATCCAATAACCAGTGTCCTTATGAGAAGGAAAAATGCAGCCGCCGACACACTCAGGGAGAACGTGACACGAAGATGAGGCCCACACTCAGGGCGCTGTTTCCGCACACTGAAGGGCACCAGTGAACCTGGGAGGGAACTGAAGGACAGCTCCTTCCTCACAGCCCTCGGAAGGAACCAACAGGCCGACCTTGCCCTTGTAACCTTTAGAAATGTGAGACAATAAATTTCTGTCATATAAGCCTCTCTGTACTGTTATTATGGCCGCCCTAGAAAACTAACACAGACATGTTTACTTTTACGCCTGGAGGTCCAGACGGGCTTTCTCCCTCATCTTCCTTACCTAGAGCTTCAGGTTCCAAGCTGATCAATGCCATGCAGTACACCCAGGCCTGAAGTTTTTATTGACCATACTCTAAAACACTGAACTGAATGGAAAATACCTGCTCTGAGGTGACTGATCACAACCCTGGTGCTACCCAAGCAAATAAAAGGTCTCCCCACCTGACTGTTGTGGAATCCCAATATCCCTCCCGCCTACAATGGCACAAGCATTATAGCACACTCGGATTAGAGCCCAGGGACAGAGGGCCTCAGCTCTCCTGTTACTCTGTACTGAAATCAGAGAAACAAGGCCATCCTATCCTTAGCTAACTGGAATCTTCAACAAATAGCACCGTGAAACTTTTTTGTCCCTTGATGGCTAAAAGTTAGACGTAAAAAAAGGAACCTTACCACGAGCCCGATTTGTTAAGGGCGACGTTAGTCAACGGCAGTACATGTGCTCTGAGAACCTTCAGTGAAAGAAACGCCATGTATTTCAGACTCAGACCGAATTAACCGTAGGGCATTCATTTTAACTTCACGTATGTAAGACACTGGAATAAACTATGACAAGCATTGTACAGAAAACAATATTTTTACATTTCCAGTGAAACTCAAGTTAATGAAGACATCCAGTGTCAGCTTAACGACGTGTAATAAACTGACACTATCCAATGCCCAAACAAATGAGGGAAAAAAATGCATTGTGCCTTCTGCTATAAAGACAAGTAATACATGTGGTAGTTACAGATAATTACGGAAGCATAATGGGCTTTGAATTTCCATTTATTTACCTTTAAGAAAGCATGGTTACTAAGTAAGTGACCAAATAGCACTCATTTGTAACATTCTAAAACATTCTAAGGCATATGACTTTGTACATACGTATGGACATTGCATACAAGAAATACATTAAATATGTTTCAAACTTACATTTTACAATGCATTATTACTTGCATTATTATTATTATTTTTCCTAAACCTCCTTTACAGTCTTATTTAACTTTTGGTCCCTATGTTAACTAACAAATAGTTGATGTCTAACGAGATACGTAAATTGGATAATTCATTAACAGGGTGATTGGCTAGGTCGGGACTGTCTGTTCTGTCTGCTGCTATAGTGTAACTATGTAGTGTGTCCGTTCACTATCAAGAATGTTCCTTCTGGAGGACAAATTACAAGGTCATAAAGCTCATATTTGAAGCTAAACAGTGCCACCTGCTGGAAAAAGACAGATGACAAGAATAACCTCATCCTTTCTCAGAAACTTGAGTGACTACCAAAGAATGACTGGAAGTTTGATTCAGGTAAAATAAGCGAGTATATAAGTTATTATATTTTATTATCATAATTAAATTCAAATCATAAAAAACAAAATCAGTGTAATATGAATAAGTTCTAGAATAAACTTAAATATTTCTAATAAAGAAAAAAATAAAACCTGCTCTTGAAGTATGGACTACATGTTACAGCCTTAATTTGACAATTAAAACCTACAGAGAAAAATAACTATATTGACATCAAATTAAACTTATTTGATCCATATAAGTAATTTACCGAAGTATAGTTTAGTTCACATGGAAGCAGATAATATGAAGTGTTGATACATCATGAAACAATTTCTTAATGTTACTATAACTAGGACATTTTTAATTTATTTAATTTATCATTATTAAGGGGAGCTAAGCTTACTATAAGTATTTCTTTAACCTTTCAAGAACTAAATGTTTTGACTACCAATCATCCATTTAATACATTTTTGAGATTTAGTCTTAGAAAATATAAGACATTGAAATAAACTACTGACAAGCATTTTATGGACAGCAAGCAATATTTTTAGGGGAAGAAAAACATTTCTAGTGAAACACTAGTTAATAAGACATTAATTTGTTCATTGAAATTCTTCCACCTGGTACGGTTAAACTTGCATTACCTTAAAAAGATAGAACTGGTGGTCGCTGTGCTGTCCGAGTTTCTCCTGTAATCTCTCTATGAGAAGTTTGACTTGCTCTGCACGTGAAGTCGTGATTAGAGGTTCTGCTTTCTGAATCTCTTCTACCAAAGCAGTGACATCAGTACTGAAATTCACCCCCCAAAACAGTTACTTTTTTCCATATTAAAAATTGCAATATAAGTTCATTACATAAAAAATTGCACTGGTTTATGAAGCACAACATTTATAAAATAGCATATGCCCTATCCCAAAAGATTTCTGGGGAGAAAAAAAATCACTCAAATTGGTGAAGAACATGGTGGCACAGAAGCAAGATGCTTGAACTTTCTCACGCACCCTTCCATGATGGTGACTTCCCTCGTGAAGAGTGTGCCAATGCATTCACCTGCTGCTGTGGTCTGAATGTTCTGTCCCCTCTGGAATTCTCACTGAAACTTGATTGCTGACACAACCATATTAAAAGACGAAACCCTCAGGGGCTGCTTAAATCATAAGAGGGAAATTAAATCCAGCCTTTGTGACTGGAGCTAGATTCCCTGATAAAAAGGCATGATGGCGTGTGTTGCTTTGCCCTCCCACTTCACACATGGGAGGCAGTGTTCCTCCACCCAGAGGACGCAGAGTGCAGCACCACCTTGGAAGCAGAGAGCAGCCCTCACCAGAAAACTGAACCTGGAGGCGCCTTAATCTTGGACTTCCCACTCTACTGCACTGTTAGAAAGGTTTCTGGCAGCTGGTAGGTAGTGCGGTGGTTAAGGGTGCTGGATTCCCACATGGCCCACTAGGGTTTGAGTCCAGGACCTGGTGCTTGCTTTCTCACTCCACCCCACCCCCATCCCTCTCTAGTCAAATTTAAATAAATAGAGAAAGTTAAAAAAAAAAAAAAGAAAGAAAGAAATAGGTTCTGTTCAGAAGTTACGCAGTCTTCAGTATTTTTGCTAAAGCAACACAAAATGAACTAAGAAGACACCGAGGAAAGCCAGATGCATGCTGGTTCTGAACATGAGCTCTATTTTTTTTCCCAATTTCTTTTAAAAGAACATAAATTGAATGTACTTGGTACTGTACTTGTCACTTTATACATGTTCTCTTATTTAATCCTACAACAACCTGCAGGTGTAGTTGATGCTTTTATCATAACTATTTTAAAGATGAAGAAATCAAAGTTTAGAAAACTTATGTTTTAAATATTTTTAGGGAA